CCCCCCCCGGGGGAGATGGCCACGCCGCAGTCCCTTCTCCTCCATTCTCCTTTTGGGATCTTGGACATGCACGCACACACGCCGGTGTGAATTTAAGCCACTGAGTCTGTGACTCGAACTGCAGTCGACTACATGGGAGTTCAGTGACATAGCCATTACGCCAACTGCTGGTCCCCTTAACAGTGTCTTTCAAAAAGCAGAAGTGATTGACTTAATTTTGATGAACTTCAATTTATAAGTATTTTTCTCTTAAGATTTTTACTTCTGGTATCCTGAGAAATCTGTCTAATCCTTGGTCACACAGCTATTCTTTATTTTCTTCTAAAAGATATTTAGATTTAGTTCTTGACTCGTAAGATATGAGTCAAGATTCATTTTTTTTACCTCTATCAGTTCCAGTATAATTTATTGAAAAGACTGTCTTCTCTCCATGAAATTACTTTTGTACTTAAAAAAAAAAAAAGCCATATATTTGAGTTCATTTCTGGCTTTTTAAATTCTGTTCCATTGATCTGTAGTCTGGTCTATGCCAATATCACATTTCATGATTATGTTAGATTTATACTAAGGTTTTTATTTTTCATCTTAGGTGAAAGCATTCTTTATATTACCATTAGGTAAAATACTAGTGGTAGGTTTGATACAGGCATCCTTAATCAGGTTAAGGAAATTCCTTCTATGTCCAGTTTGCTGAGAGTTTCTATCAGAAATAAATGTTAGATTTTGCCAAATGCTTTTCTGCATCCACTGAGATAATCGTGTTTTCTTTTTTTGAACTATCAATATTGTAGATTATGCAAGCTGACTTTATAATGTTGAATCAAACTTGCATACTTGTGATAAATTCTGCTTGACTGTGACATATGATCCTCTTTATGGCTTCTTAGAGTAGAATTTTAGATTATTTATTTGAAAACTTTCTTGTGTCAATATAAGTAATGCTATGGATAGATACTACTCTAATGCTTTAGCTGCATCCACAAATTCCGGAATACTCTGTCTTCACTTCTTTTAGCTAAAAATAATACATTCTTTTTCTTTCCAGGGCACACGTGCATTTACCAACATTCTGTTGGTGATGCTCTCTGTCTGTCTCTCTCTCGCTTTCTGTCTCTCTAGTTTCTCAAAGAAATCATTTTTTTTCCTTATCACATTTTCTTCAAGGAAGTTTATACCAATTTAACCTTTATCAATAGTATGTGAGACCACTCATTTCTGTTCTTTTGACATTTTACTCTCAAATAATGTATTACAATAATCTTTCACTGTACACTATCTGTCCCCTTCCCACTTTTTAATTTTAAGTGCAGTAGCATCAAGAAAATTGTTATTGACATAAAATGTGCTGAATTCATTGTAGTCCTTACAATCCACATACAGAAAATAATAAACGGGAAAACAAAAATCCACCGGCCAATCTAAAATTTAGATGTGCATAAGAACTTGGGGACTGGCAGGTGCAGGTGGTTAGTGGTGCTGGACTTCCACATGACCAACTGCGGTTTGAGTCCCAGACCTGGCTGGTTGCTTTCTCACTTTCCCTTTCTCTCTCTCTCTCTCTCTCTCTGATAAATAAATAAGTAGATAGATAAATAAAGATAAATAAAATAATTCTTTAAAAAAAACAAAACTTTAGATTTATAAACAATACTTTGACTTAACGTGAATGGTAGAAGAAACACTGAGTGTGGGGATGGTGGAGACACAACAGAAGTCTCTTCTTTGGACTTTTCAGTAGGCATGGGATGTCAGATGTTTGGGTTTCTTACTGGATTTCTTACCTTATTTTTTGCTATGATTCCCTGGAAGCAATGGGTAATTTTTGGTAATGAGCATCTACATTTTAACATAACTATCAGTAGTGGAATGGTGAGAACATCACGGGCATCTAGGTAGCATTTTCAATGGAGTATTAAAGCGTGAATTTTAGGTCCTTACAGAAAGATGCCTTAGCATGTGGGTTTAACAGTCTCTTTATTTCTCATGATTTAAACTTCCTTTTTCTTTTCTCTAAGAAGCAGAAACTTGTGAAACAGTTGCCTTTAACTTCTATATGCTTAGAAACAGATTCACCTGTACTAGGACCAGAAAAACAGGTAAATGATTTTCTAATTTCTACCTTATTTAGATTGTATTTTTTATGTGAGCTATTTTCTGTTTATCTGTGTTTCTCATTTTGGTGTAACTACATTGGAATCTTACTGTAATGCTAGGATGAGGGGTTATATTAAACTTACTTCAGGTCTTTTCTAAAATAGCTGTTGTGCTCCAGAGAATATTCTTGACTTGGAACACGTCCTCATTTATGTAATAGTGAGAGTCAGATGAGTATAGTGTAATGAAAGGCATAGCGTTGAGTCAGACTCGGATTGAAATGCTGTCACTGATAGCCACTAGCTGACTTCAGGCTACTTAATCTCTCTGAAAATTTTGTCATTAATAAAATATGTATAGAATAATAATAATGATGATAGGTTTTTGCCCTAGGGTATGTGTACTTGCCAGAGAGAGACAGTGAGAGGGAAAGTGAGAAATCACTCCCTAGGAGGGATGGCCATGCTGCAATCCCTTCTCTTCTATCCTCTTCCTGGGATTTTGGGTATGCATGTACTCATACTCGATATGATTTTCAAGCCATTAGGCCTGGAATTCGTACCACAATGAGCCATGTGGGAATCCAGCACCTTACCCACCATGGCACCTGCTGGCCCTGGAGATATATATATATATATTTGACAGGATCTTGCCATGCCATGATCCTCCTGACCCAGTCCCCATTTATCTAGGTTTACAGGTGCACACACCCACACCACATGTGTTCAACTTGGCACGGGAACTGGATCTGAGCCTCCTGGGCATCTTCCAGCCTCCCAAGCAGTGGCATTACCTATGAGCCACTACTACTGGGCCATTTTTCTTCTTTTAATTAGCATGTTATAATGAGGTTCTATTTCTTTGAGTACAAGTATTAATATAGTCATAGGTTTGTTTGTATGATCTTTGCTATAGTATCTGATTTTATTACTGTAGGCCACAAATATTCATATTTTAAATTTCATACTCTTTCATATTGTTAGTATTTTACATTCAGATTTCTACAAGGAAGCCACAGTTTCTGCTTTACTTACTTTTGACAGGACCCATTACAATTTCCTTCCAACATACAGTTTAATAAGTGCCTTGATTGCCCATCAGATCAGAGTCTATGCCTGCCAAATTCAGAGAACTGATACTTATGATCCAGACAGTTTGGAGCAATAGCAATTATTATGTGATTATTAACAGATTATGATTATTAGTGATTACAATGTGAATCTTGCTGATTAATGTTCAATTGTTTACACATTTCTATAAATCAGCTTTTATAAGAGTGTAACAGATAGAGGAATGGGGAAGTAGAGAATTACAGTTTTGTAGGTTTATTCTATTTGGGTATAGGACAGAACAGTAAAAAATTGCCTTCTTGAATAGTGTAAAACAGAAGGAAAGAGATCTAGCAGTTTTTTTTGTAAACAGAAATAAGTGTTGAACGCTGTTGTGTTTGTATTTTGTTGATTTAAAGGCAAGTTTCTGGCATAGCACCTTGTGCAAAGTAAATACTAAATAAACAGTTATTAAATAAATGAATTTTTTAGCCAGATCTGGTTTTTTTTAGGTAAAATATGTTTGTCCTACAAAGTTAGAAAATCATAAATAAGAAAATAAAACTGTACCATGCAGAGGTCAGCACAGTAGGTAGGAGCATAAAGCATAAGACATTTTAAGTCAGAGTGCTTGCATTTAAACGTCAGCCAGGCTATTTATTAGCTATTTAGGATCCCGTCTTACTTATATAAAAAAAGGAATGCTTATAATATTACCTTTTAAAGTTATTTTGAGAATTAAATAAGAAATCCCATGAAAGCTTAGAACAAAGTCTCACCTTCGAAAAGCACCAAACAAATGTAATTCTTATGTCCTTCCAGACTTTTTTATTTTCATATATGTACGTATGTATACATAGGGGTATTTAAAAGTATGTGAAAAAGTGGGCCAGCAGATGGCATAATGGACTCACTGGACTCCCACATAGTCAACCACGGTTCAAGTTCCAGAACAGCAACTTAAACTCATGCCGGGTGTCGGCTGTCTGTGCTCGCGCCCAAGATTCTGAGAGGAGAATGAAGGAGAAGGGATTGTGGCCTCGCCATCCGCCCTGGGGATGATTTCTTGCTTTCTATCTCTCTGTCTCTCTGTGTCTCTCCAGCAAGTGCACACATCCTATAACAAAAATTTCCCTTAAAAAAAAGTGAGTTAATTTGGTGCAAAAAATTCTGAAATTCATGTATATTTTCATAATATGCATTTTCCATAAACTTTTGAAGACTCATATTCCATAGTTGTTTCATAACTTCCTTTTATGAAGTTGACCTCTTTATATGTTAATGCATATACTTTTCTTTATAATATTTTATGGCTTTTTTAGCAACAAGATATTATATTATAAACCAGGCTGGCCTCTGACTCGCATTCCTACTGCCTCGGCCTGCTGGGTAACTGGGATTACAGGCACATACCACCGGGCTGACTCCTAATGTTTAATAACTGCATAATTTCATGGGGCTGACAGCTGACGTGGTGAAAGGCGCTGGACTCTCACATGGCCAACTCATGGTTCGAATCCCAGACCTGTCAGTTTGCTTTCTCACATTCCCCCTCTCGCTCTCTCTCACTCTGTCCTTCTGTGATCAAATTAAAATAAATAAAGTTAAATAAAATAATTCTTTTTTCAAAAAAAACTGTATAATATTCCAGCGTGTGAATGTGCCATAGTGTGTTTACCTTAATATTGGTCATTCAGGTTGTCTTAAAAACAATATGATGAATGTCTTTGAATATAGGCTTTTTAAAATTACTTTTATTTTTTATTATTATTATTTTTAAAATTTGCTGTAGGGCATACACAATCACCAGAGAGACAGACGGAGAGAGGGAAAGA